TTACCTTTTTCCAAACAGTGCCATGTCTCTGTTTTGCAAACTCATAAATAGCATTTGAAACGTTTGAAAATTCAAAAAAGGAGGAGCAGCCTATTACTGACTACAAAAAACCTCTAGATGGTATTTTTCTTTAAATATACAGACCTACAAAACTGTTTCGCAAAGATATAAAATGACACAAAACTGGCATACCTTCTGGATACTTGTGAACTCTTTATTGACTTCCTCTAACTTATTAGCTATTTGCTCCACTGACTTCTCCAAATCTTTTAACTTCTTTAATTCAGCCTCTTCTTCTGGACTATTCTGTGTATTCAAAAGTACAACATTCACAACTATGGAACAAATAGAGTCACTATGCAGCCAAAAAGCAGCAACAGTTATGATACTGACATCAAGGCTTTTACTGACTTAAAATACATACTACACTGTGGTTATTCTTTCCATATTTTAATAGCTATCAAATAAGCTTCTTCCAAAGCTTAATTACAAATACAGTTGAAGTGGAAATGTATATAAACACATTAAATGAGATCAATTTGAAGGGAGAAAGCAAAATTGGAAACAAGGGGGGGGGGTTGTTAGCTTCGCTTCTTTAAAGCAGAGGTAACATTTATATCATGAGATGTTACCTTGTCCTCTACTTGGCAAAGCCAGTCACCAGTCATTTCACTAGATATAACCCAGCAGACTCAGTAGTTACAGCTTTATTTTCTTTAAACCGGAAAAATAAGATGGGCAGATAAGGTCATCAGCGCACAGAAGCAGCAGATTAGGCAGAAGTTTGTCAATAACATAAGGCAGAAGTCAGTCCACAGGGTAATTTCAGAAATGTACAAACTGCAGAGTTATTTGCAGTACAACCAGAGATTGAACTCAACTTTGTGGGTAGGTATACAAGATTAGGTTTATGCTGTTACCTGTTTCTGTGTTCAGAAGCTGAATCACTAACAGAAATGCCAATAATTTAAGGAAAAAAAAAGTCCAGAGGCAACACTTACCCTTTTCCCAATCAACATCACTTTGCAACCATTTTTAACACCAAGTGCTGACAACGGTTGTTCCAATTCTTTCAGAGACTTCCCTAAATGGAAAACGGGAGAGGAAAAAAAAAGTTAAGATACACTTAGTGACTTAAGAATGTCTTCTTGAAGACATTCAAAACACAGACATCTGAAAGTGACCAAGATGAAAGGCATAATCTATAAGAAACCTTGACAGATTTGTAATTTACCTTTGTATATCAGTTTCTGAAAAGAAACTGGAACTCCAGTGACTTGCTCAATAAGTACAGCCATGTCCTGTAGTGTAGGTTCACCATCATCTTGTTGAGAAGCAACCCGAATACTGTGTTTTTCATTACCTAACAAAAAACAGAGTAACAGTAATACTTATCGTTACCTAGAAAATATTATAGGGAATCTGTTTCTAATATTTAATTCCATTAACGCAGAAAGTTCTCAAATCACTGATTCTCGTGTACAATCACAATTTTCAACTGAAGGATTCTATTGCATTTCCTTCCTCTTGGAGTGACTTACCTCAGTTGAAAATTTTCATTTACATTCTAATAACCCGAAGAGCTGGATCAGTCATATTCTACTGGCATACTGCTCCTGCTAAATACTATTTCCCACCTCTTTTTAAGAGTGCAGATGGCATCTAGACAATCCACAGGCTAAAGTATGAAAGCTCACACCTTTGTGATGTATTCTATTTCCTACTTGTAGAAATTTTTAATGGCATGAGCCTTGGGGAATCTGACACATTTTATCCTTTGCTCCCCACTCCTCATATATGAGAGGTAAGCGATCACTGTCTACTCTGCCTCCCCTCCATCAACCACCTGAGAGAATTCTCACGGACCAAAAACTGTTTCTCCCCGTAATACTGCAGACAGGCAGCCTTAACCACTTTGAGAACTCTCACCCTGTATGTCACCTTCCACCTACAGAACATCCCATTCAGACTGTCTGAGATTAGTTGCATACAAACAGCAGGAATTTCCTTCACTACAAGCAGTGTGGGGAGAGCACAAGGAGCATTCCTGTCCATTGCTCTGATTTTTTTTTTTTTTTTTTTTTGCAGGAAGAGAGAACTCTAGACATACCAGAAAGAAAACCATTCTCATGCCACTAATTTGAAGTGCGCATATCTTGTACAAAGAAGACCACTAGAAACATCGATTTCAAAATGTTCCAGCCTCCCAGAGTCCCATGTCAAACGACACCATGGCCTCAAAAACTTGCAAGCTCCAACAATATTTCTTAATTCCAAAATTGTTTTAAGCTCAAAATCACATTACACAAACTCTCCCCCAAATATTTTCCACAAACAGACCTTCTTCCCTGTTTGTTTCTGGGGGGAAAAAACAATTAGGTCCTAACCTCAACATATTTCACAAGGTTGTTTTGATATATACAACTGCTCTGTGTAAGGGCTGTGCCTGTCACCAGTTGAGGGCAAAGACAAATAAACAAGCAAACAGGGAAGAGAACAGCTGAAGTTTGCCTAGCAATAGAAACAGTTTTAATAGTAAACTATGAGCACCTCTTTGGGCAGAGTGTAACAAAAATTTTTCTGTAAATTCACAGCAGAGTGAAATCACCCTGCAAAATATCTCATGGGTTAGGATCGTTATCACAGCTCATCAGTTTGCTTCAGCAAACGACAATACTAATTTAAAGTAATCCGTAGTGCAAAAATCCAAAATTTTTTTTTTTAAAGCCTAAATACATTTAAAAACCAGGCCAGTTCAATTTCTTGTAGATTGTCAAGTAATACATGTGGGTGTACTACCATTCTCTTTCTTCACCCTTATGTCCATCTTTCCCCACTTTCACTCACACATGCAAAGCTTTAATAAGAATGTCTGTTCCAAGTACTAAACCAGCATCTGACAGCAAATCAGACAGCTGAAGTCCAAGATGAAGGATGCCTTCTGTTTGCCATCTATATATGACAAAGCAATTACCAGATAAAAACACAACTGGAAAGGTAACAACATTCTCAGGTAAGACGACTGTTGGCAAACACTAAAATGTTAGAATTATAAACACACTAATATTGTTGTTATTGTCATCTTTGCAAATGAAAACCCCTCAGATCAAATGGAGCACTCTGAAAGCACCATTGAGTGCATGAATTGTGATGATTCAAACAGATTATTCCACAAAGTTCCTCACCAAAGACTCTCAGGTAAAACTGTCAGGCGATAAAGGAAACATTTTCACAAAATAATGTATCAAATATAACAGCAAGAGTTTGAAAATAAGAATAAGCAAGCAGAAATAAGCAATCAGCTCTAAAGGTGGAAAGAACATCACTAACATAATGCAAAAGGAGCAGGAAGACAATTTGTTTTTCAATAATTAAAAAAATAATCCATAAAAACCCCACAAGTTAACAAAAATCAGCTGATGAATACCTCACCAACTTAACGCCTTACTCTCCTCCTCCTTCCTCCTACCGCCTTACCTAGATCCACTCCATTAAAATTTAACCACGGTATTTCCCACCTTTTCTCCACGAGCTGCGGAGTCCAGGCTATTCTAACCTCTTTGCAATAACTTTCTATACTTATTTGCAGACTTGATCGCATCTTTCCTTCCACCATCTTCTCCCTCTTCCTATCTCTCTGCCTGAGGAAAGAACAAATCCACCGTGCCAGCTGGCCTTCCAGCAACCCATCTCCTCAGGCCAGCACCCGACTGTCACACCAGCGGACGCAGCGCTCCCCGCC